ATATACAAATATATATATATACATATATATGCATATCCATACATATTCATCCATACATATATATGCTTACCAGGTATATATGTTCAGCACAGCTCGGTTGGTGTGTTACACAGATAGTGGTGGTACACGGTGGCATGGCATTTAATATGGTAAGGGGGTTCTTTTTTTATTTTTTCTTCTTTCTTTTATCTTTACGTGTTTATTATCATTTCACTTTCTTTTTTTGTCTCTATTTTTCTGACTCAACAATTATTAGCACACAGGCACAAAGGCTTATATATATATCCATATACACACATACAAATACCTCATAAAGGAATACATCCATGATTTACCTTCAAAAACAGCACTTAGTTTATCTATAAATCATAAATAATCAATCATTAAGGATTATGTTATTGTCTGGGTGTTTTACTATTTTTGATAATTGTGATAATGGGTGTGGTTTAATTATATTTTCACAAGCACAAATATGGGCATCTTAAGGTTTGTCACATGGAATATTAATGGAGCTGGTAGCCAACATAAAAAATATAGAATCTTTAACCAGATTAAAAGATTAAAGGCAGATGTTGTATTACTCCAAGAAATTCATGAATTACCGTCAACTGTGGATGAGCTAAAATCTCCTGAGTTTCCTGATGTATTCTCAGCCTGCTATAACTCAAGACAGAGAGGAGTAGCAATATTAATACATAAAAATGTGAACTTCACAATATTAGACACAGTTATAGACCCGCAAGGTAGATATATAATATTAAAATTATCTATACTCAGTCAGAAATATTGTATTGTTAGCTTATATGGGCCAAATGTGGATGATGCCGCTTTTTTTCATGATCTCTTCTCTACTCTATCAAATCACATGGATTGCTCGCTGGTACTGGGAGGTGATCTTAACTTTGGTCTAGATAACAAAATAGACAGGCTGAATGCAGTAGGAGCTCAACGCAGTTGGCAATCCATAAATGTAGTTAAACAGTACATGAGTGATTATGGACTCTGCGATGCATGGCGGTCTCTTCACCCTAATAGTAAAGAGTATTCTTTCTTTTCACATGTGCATCACTCTTACTCTCGTCTGGATTATTTTATAATCAGCAACTCATTGCTGACCAACATTTCAGACACTAAGATACACCCTATTGCTGTCAGCGATCATGCACCAGTTACTTTAAATTTAGATAATAAGAAAGAAATCCCAAAAAGTATAAACTGGAGATTAAATACCTCACTGCTTATGGACGAAGAATTTATACAATACTTTAAAAATGAATGGACAGCGTATTTA